GCACCCAAGTTTTTGAACTTTCTCGAGGGAATGAAAGGGTAAGAGGTATACATTATGAATATATACCTCTTACCCTTCCATTCCCTCTCTGACAGCGGGAAACTTTGTCTGAATGTTAAACTATTCAGACAAAGTTTCCCGCTGTTTGGGAAGGAATTGTTTGGCTATGATGTACTGATTCATGATCAGTACATCATAGCCAACAATTCCTTGTACAAAGTTCAAAAACTTGGGTGCAATCAGTTCTGATTGCACCCAAGTTTTTGAACTTTCTCGAGGGAATGAAAGGGTAAGAGGTATACATTATGAATATATACCTCTTACCCTTCCATTCCCTCTCTGACAGCGGGAAACTTTGTCTGAATGTTAAACTATTCAGACAAAGTTTCCCGCTGTTTGGGAAGGAATTGTTGGCTATGATGTACTGATTCATGATCAGTACATCATAGCCAACAATTCCTTGTACAAAGTTCAAAAACTTGGGTGCAATCAGAACTGATTGCACCCAAGTTTTTGAACTTTCTCGAGGGAATGAAAGGGTAAGAGGTATACATTATGAATATATACCTCTTACCCTTCCATTCCCTCTCTGACAGCGGGAAACTTTGTCTGAATGTTAAACTATTCAGACAAAGTTTCCCGCTGTTTGGGAAGGAATTGTTGGCTATGATGTACTGATTCATGATCAGTACATCATAGCCAACAATTCCTTGTACAAAGTTCAAAAACTTGGGTGCAATCAGTTCTGATTGCACCCAAGTTTTTGAACTTTCTCGAGGGAATGAAAGGGTAAGAGGTATACATTATGAATATATACCTCTTACCCTTCCATTCCCTCTCTGACAGCGGGAAACTTTGTCTGAATGTTAAACTATTCAGACAAAGTTTCCCGCTGTTTGGGAAGGAATTGTTGGCTATGATGTACTGATTCATGATCAGTACATCATAGCCAACAATTCCTTGTACAAAGTTCAAAAACTTGGGTGCAATCAGTTCTGATTGCACCCAAGTTTTTGAACTTTCTCGAGGGAATGAAAGGGTAAGAGGTATACATTATGAATATATACCTCTTACCCTTCCATTCCCTCTCTGACAGCGGGAAACTTTGTCTGAATGTTAAACTATTCAGACAAAGTTTCCCGCTGTTTGGGAAGGAATTGTTGGCTATGATGTACTGATTCATGATCAGTACATCATAGCCAACAATTCCTTGTACAAAGTTCAAAAACTTGGGTGCAATCAGTTCTGATTGCACCCAAGTTTTTGAACTTTCTCGAGGGAATGAAAGGGTAAGAGGTATACATTATGAATATATACCTCTTACCCTTCCATTCCCTCTCTGACAGCGGGAAACTTTGTCTGAATGTTAAACTATTCAGACAAAGTTTCCCGCTGTTTGGGAAGGAATTGTTGGCTATGATGTACTGATTCATGATCAGTACATCATAGCCAACAATTCCTTGTACAAAGTTCAAAAACTTGGGTGCAATCAGTTCTGATTGCACCCAAGTTTTTGAACTTTCTCGAGGGAATGAAAGGGTAAGAGGTATACATTATGAATATATACCTCTTACCCTTCCATTCCCTCTCTGACAGCGGGAAACTTTGTCTGAATGTTAAACTATTCAGACAAAGTTTCCCGCTGTTTGGGAAGGAATTGTTGGCTATGATGTACTGATTCATGATCAGTACATCATAGCCAACAATTCCTTGTACAAAGTTCAAAAACTTGGGTGCAATCAGTTCTGATTGCACCCAAGTTTTTGAACTTTCTCGAGGGAATGAAAGGGTAAGAGGTATACATTATGAATATATACCTCTTACCCTTCCATTCCCTCTCTGACAGCGGGAAACTTTGTCTGAATGTTAAACTATTCAGACAAAGTTTCCCGCTGTTTGGGAAGGAATTGTTGGCTATGATGTACTGATTCATGATCAGTACATCATAGCCAACAATTCCTTGTACAAAGTTCAAAAATTGGGTGCAATCAGTTCTGATTGCACCCAAGTTTTTGAACTTTCTCGAGGGAATGAAAGGGTAAGAGGTATACATTATGAATATATACCTCTTACCCTTCCATTCCCTCTCTGACAGCGGGAAACTTTGTCTGAATGTTAAACTATTCAGACAAAGTTTCCCGCTGTTTGGGAAGGAATTGTTGGCTATGATGTACTGATTCATGATCAGTACATCATAGCCAACAATTCCTTGTACAAAGTTCAAAAACTTGGGTGCAATCAGTTCTGATTGCACCCAAGTTTTTGAACTTTCTCGAGGGAATGAAAGGGTAAGAGGTATACATTATGAATATATACCTCTTACCCTTCCATTCCCTCTCTGACAGCGGGAAACTTTGTCTGAATGTTAAACTATTCAGACAAAGTTTCCGCTGTTTGGGAAGGAATTGTTGGCTATGATGTACTGATTCATGATCAGTACATCATAGCCAACAATTCCTTGTACAAAGTTCAAAAACTTGGGTGCAATCAGTTCTGATTGCACCCAAGTTTTTGAACTTTCTCGAGGGAATGAAAGGGTAAGAGGTATACATTATGAATATATACTCTTACCCTTCCATTCCTCTCTGACAGCGGGAAACTTTGTCTGAATGTTAAACTATTCAGACAAAGTTTCCCGCTGTTTGGGAAGGAATTGTTGGCTATGATGTACTGATTCATGATCAGTACATCATAGCCAACAATTCCTTGTACAAAGTTCAAAAACTTGGGTGCAATCAGTTCTGATTGCACCCAAGTTTTTGAACTTTCTCGAGGGAATGAAAGGGTAAGAGGTATACATTATGAATATATACCTCTTACCCTTCCATTCCCTCTCTGACAGCGGGAAACTTTGTCTGAATGTTAAACTATTCAGACAAAGTTTCCCGCTGTTTGGGAAGGAATTGTTGGCTATGATGTACTGATTCATGATCAGTACATCATAGCCAACAATTCCTTGTACAAAGTTCAAAAACTTGGGTGCAATCAGTTCTGATTGCACCCAAGTTTTGAACTTTCTCGAGGGAATGAAAGGGTAAGAGGTATACATTATGAATATATACCTCTTACCCTTCCATTCCCTCTCTGACAGCGGGAAACTTTGTCTGAATGTTAAACTATTCAGACAAAGTTTCCCGCTGTTTGGGAAGGAATTGTTGGCTATGATGTACTGATTCATGATCAGTACATCATAGCCAACAATTCCTTGTACAAAGTTCAAAAACTTGGGTGCAATCAGTTCTGATTGCACCCAAGTTTTTGAACTTTCTCGAGGGAATGAAAGGGTAAGAGGTATACATTATGAATATATACCTCTTACCCTTCCATTCCCTCTCTGACAGCGGGAAACTTTGTCTGAATGTTAAACTATTCAGACAAAGTTTCCCGCTGTTTGGGAAGGAATTGTTGGCTATGATGTACTGATTCATGATCAGTACATCATAGCCAACAATTCCTTGTACAAAGTTCAAAAACTTGGGTGCAATCAGTTCTGATTGCACCCAAGTTTTTGAACTTTCTCGAGGGAATGAAAGGGTAAGAGGTATACATTATGAATATATACCTCTTACCCTTCCATTCCCTCTCTGACAGCGGGAAACTTTGTCTGAATGTTAAACTATTCAGACAAAGTTTCCGCTGTTTGGGAAGGAATTGTTGGCTATGATGTACTGATTCATGATCAGTACATCATAGCCAACAATTCCTTGTACAAAGTTCAAAAACTTGGGTGCAATCAGTTCTGATTGCACCCAAGTTTTTGAACTTTCTCGAGGGAATGAAAGGGTAAGAGGTATACATTATGAATATATACCTCTTACCCTTCCATTCCCTCTCTGACAGCGGGAAACTTTGTCTGAATGTTAAACTATTCAGACAAAGTTTCCCGCTGTTTGGGAAGGAATTGTTGGCTATGATGTACTGATTCATGATCAGTACATCATAGCCAACAATTCCTTGTACAAAGTTCAAAAACTTGGGTGCAATCAGTTCTGATTGCACCCAAGTTTTTGAACTTTCTCGAGGGAATGAAAGGGTAAGAGGTATACATTATGAATATATACCTCTTACCCTTCCATTCCCTCTCTGACAGCGGGAAACTTTGTCTGAATGTTAAACTATTCAGACAAAGTTTCCCGCTGTTTGGGAAGGAATTGTTGGCTATGATGTACTGATTCATGATCAGTACATCATAGCCAACAATTCCTTGTACAAAGTTCAAAAACTTGGGTGCAATCAGTTCTGATTGCACCCAAGTTTTTGAACTTTCTCGAGGGAATGAAAGGGTAAGAGGTATACATTATGAATATATACCTCTTACCCTTCCATTCCCTCTCTGACAGCGGGAAACTTTGTCTGAATGTTAAACTATTCAGACAAAGTTCCCGCTGTTTGGGAAGGAATTGTTGGCTATGATGTACTGATTCATGATCAGTACATCATAGCCAACAATTCCTTGTACAAAGTTCAAAAACTTGGGTGCAATCAGTTCTGATTGCACCCAAGTTTTTGAACTTTCTCGAGGGAATGAAAGGGTAAGAGGTATACATTATGAATATATACCTCTTACCCTTCCATTCCCTCTCTGACAGCGGGAAACTTTGTCTGAATGTTAAACTATTCAGACAAAGTTTCCCGCTGTTTGGGAAGGAATTGTTGGCTATGATGTACTGATTCATGATCAGTACATCATAGCCAACAATTCCTTATACAAAGTTCAAAAACTGATTTTCATTTGGCAGATCCACTTCTTGTCTTTCCATTTTTTTTGAATCAATTTATACAAATAAACATATAAAACACAAAATTATTATTTTATAATATAATTCTTAGATAATACATCCGATATGTAAAGTGTCAAAAATGAATTGAACCGAATTTTCATGCATTACAAAACGATCAATAACTTATATCATTTCAGAAATATATTATACAATAAGAACATTGCAATTCGCAACCATAATTTCAGTTTGTTTCAAATCGTCATGACTTATTTTGTTGTAATGTTTTATTTTGCAACAGATGAGCAAGTTTTTGCAACTGGTCTTTTCTTTTCTGGAGTTGCATGTCAGACAATTGCTGATTTCATTAATGAAATTTTTTACAATGGAATCACCCCTGCAAACGATAATAAGGTAAGAAGATGCGTGAGAGCTTCTCTCAATGGTGATAGATTTGAATTTGGTAAAGAAAACACAAATGACGCAACATTTTCAGAAGTTGATGAAGTAATTCTTATGAAATTCATCGAGGATTCTGTTGAAAATGATGAAGGATTGACTCTTGCAGATGCAACAAAGCACGCACGTCAATTAGTAATTGAGCGAAATAAATTTATGCAGCTTTTCCTATTCCTCCAATTGCTAAAAAAAGAAGAAAAAGTCAAGGAGGAATCAATGATCTATTAGCAGATCGCCAATCAGATGATCCAATATCAAAGTTTATCCAGGCAGTATTGCCAAAATATAATTTTAAGTTGAGTACTGCACAATCTATTGAAGAAAATCGAAAACATTATTGTACAAGATTAACGCTTGTGCGATGGATGTTACAATTTTGTAATATATTGCAGGGGATCGATCCACAAACTTTATGGAATATGGACGAAACTCATTTGGCCAAAACTATCGAAAATGACTTACATGTAATATCAAGAGGAGATCATAAGCAGCAGCTGGAAGAGTTAGAAGCTAATAAAGAAACAGTTCTTAAATCGCATGTTTCCGTTGTTTGCACATGCAATGCTGCAGGAAAGTCTTTTATGCCAATGTTTATTCGACAAACTCAGAACTGCGATTCAATTCCGGATTATATTGAAGATGTGGTTAGGGGACATGGTCTCCTAGCTCAAAACATCAGGATACATGACAAAAAATTATTCTATGAATGAGTAAGCATTTCGCGTACTATATTAATGAAACATTTGGAGCTCCAAATGAACGTGAATCTCATTATATTCTCCTTGATTCGCATATATCAAGGAGAAATAAAATTGCTCTACAATTATTAAAGGACAATAACATACATGTTATTACTTTCCCCCCGCACTGCACGCACGTCATGCAGCCATTTGACGTTGTTCTTGCAAACTGCTTCAAGTGCCGAGTTCGACAATTATATAAAGATTACTCAAAAAATTTTGCTCCCAAAGATTTGAATAAAAGAGAAGAATTTGCAGAACAAGTGATTTATATGGCAGCAATTGATGCTTATAAACAGTCGTTCAATCAGAAATTTCTACACATCGCTTTTAGCGTAACAGAAATGTGCCCATTTAATTTAAAACAGTTAATGACTAGAGATGGAATCACAAAGAACGATATTGACTTTGAAACGGAGATGAGAATTAATTTTCCTAACAGAATTAGAATTACTTCTACTCTTTTAACTGACCAAGCATTTATTGATAAATTAGATTTCGATGATTTTTCTCAATGTGATGATAAAATGGTTGTATTTAATTATAATGGATCTCGTTATTTTGAATTAATTTCTTCCCAGATTCAAAATGAATCTGAACAAATTTCAATGAGTACACAATCAAATGCAAACACATCATCACAACCGCCTGTTACAGTACCTAATAGTAATATACATTCTGAAAGTCAAAGCAATGGAACTTTTCATCCATGTTATATCTATTCTGAGCAAACATCTGCATTGAATACAATTATATATTTATGCAGATATTGTCCTTATTTATCCAATTGCTTTGAAAAGAAATCGCTATATGCTTTTGACAAATTCTTCAAAGAATTTGCCAATCTGCTAAAAGTGTCAAATAGAGTTCCTATCAATGTAAGCACAATTGAATTTTTGAAATATTTTCCATCAAGTTGCAAATATCCATCCGAATTTTTGTATTTTATATTATACAACGCAGCGAAAAATAATTCAATTAAGAATAACGCGTTGAAATCACTTCTAACCGAATTTACATGCTTTGATCCTCAAGACAAAGATGTTTCCCTTCAAATTGAAGCTCAGTTAATTCTACAAGGTTCTGACAAATTTTTGAAGATGCCAACAATAAAATCGAAGTATCTTATTGTACGATGGATCGATGAGTTTAATCTAGAGATGATTAATAGAATTAAATACTTATCTTCGAAAAAATATTTGCCATTTGCAATTATTTTCAGAAAACAAGAACCCGACATTTTTTCAATTGCAATAGTCGCAAATCGAAGAGATCAAAACATATACCTTTATATTAAAAAAAAAGGTAGTGGGGCCTCCATGCACTTCGTGCCCTCTAGCCCCGAAGATGTTTAGTATGCAATGAGGTATAAAATGAGGTTTTTTTTGGGTGAAGGGGGCTTCCCGGGCGCGTTGCGCCCTCTAGCCCTAAAAATTTTTGAAAGTCGTTGCTGTTGACTTTTCGGTAGAGGACTCAAAATAGTATAACTATGTCCGGACAAGTAAGGGTCTATCGTCGCTATAGTAAAGTTACGGGCGTTCAAAGAAGTATACTTTTGAGAGACTCTTTAGAAACTTTAGACGTTTTACAAAACATTGACGAAGAAGAACTTTACAAAGTCTTTACAAAACATTGACGAAGAAGAACTTTACAAAGTCTTTACAAAACATTGACGAAGAAGAACTTTACAAAGTCTTTACAAAACATTGACGAAGAAGAACTTTACAAAGTCTTTACAAAACATTGACGAAGAAGAACTTTACAAAACATTGACGAAGAAGAACTTTACAAAGTCTTTACAAAACATTGACGAAGAAGAACTTTACAAAACATTGACGAAGAAGAACTTTACAAAACATTGACGAAGAAGAACTTTACAAAGTCTTTACAAAAACATTGACGAAGAAGAACTTTACAAAGTCTTTACAAAACATTGACGAAGAGACTTTACAAAGTCTTTACAAAACATTGACGAAGAAGAACTTTACAAAACATAGACAAGAAAGTTCATGAGAAAGTCTCAACAAAACATTGACGAAGAAGAACTTTACAAAACATAGACAAGAAAGTTCATGAGAAAGTCTTTACAAAACATTTACGAAGAAGAACTTTACAAAGTCTTTACAAAACATTGACGAAGAAGAACTTTACAAAACATAGACAAGAAAGTTCATGAGAAAGTCTCAACAAAACATTGACGAAGAAGAACTTTACAAAACATAGACAAGAAAGTTCATGAGAAAGTCTCAACAAAACATTGACGAAGAAGAACTTTACAAAGTCTTTACAAAACATTGACGAAGAAGAACTTTACAAAACATAGACAAGAAAGTTCATGAGAAAGTCTCAACAAAACATTGACGAAGAAGAACTTTACAAAACATAGACAAGAAAGTTCATGAGAAAGTCTCAACAAAACATTGACGAAGAAGAACTTTACAAAACATTTACGAAGAAGAACTTTACAAAACATTTACAAAACATTGACGAAGAAGAACTTTACAAAACATTTACGAAGAAGAACTTTACAAAACATAGACAAGAAAGTTCATGAGAAAGTCTCAACAAAACATTTACGAAGAAGAACTTTACAAAACATTGACGAAGAAGAACTTTACAAAGTCTTTACAAAACATTGACGAAGAAGAACTTTACAAAACATTGACGAAGAAGAACTTTACAAAGTCTCAACAAAACATTGACGAAGAAGAACTTTACAAAACATAGACAAGAAAGTTCATGAGAAAGTCTCAACAAAACATTTACGAAGAAGAACTTTACAAAACATTTACGAAGAAGAACTTTACAAAGTCTTTACAACAAACATTGACGAAGAAGAACTTTACAAAACATTGACGAAGAAGTCTTTACAAAACATTTACGAAGAAGAACTTTACAAAACATTTACGAAGAAGTTCATGACAAAGTCTTTACAAAACATTTACGAAGAAGAACTTTACAAAGTCTTTACAAAACATAGACAAGAAAGTTCATGACAAAGTCTCAACAAAACATTTACGAAGAAGAACTTTACAAAACATTGACGAAGAAGTTCATGACAAAGTCTTTACAAAACATTTACGATGAAGAACTTTACAAAACATAGACAAGAAAGTTCATGACAAAGTCTTTACAAAACATTGACGAAGAAGTCTTTACAAAGTCTTTACAAAACATTGACGAAGAAGTCTCAACAAAACATTGACGAAGAAGAACTTTACAAAGTCTTTACAAAACATTGACGAAGAAGAACTTTACAAAACATTGACGAAGAAGAACTTTACAAAACATTGACGAAGAAGAACTTTACAAAACATTGACGATGAAGAACTTTACAAAACATTGACGAAGAAGTTCATGACAAAGTCTCAACAAAACATTTACGAAGAAGTTCATGACAAAGTCTTTACAAAACATTGACGAAGAAGAACTTTACAAAACATTGACGAAGAAGAACTTTACAAAGTCTTTACAAAACATTGACGAGAAGAACTTTACAAAACATTGACGAAGAAGAACTTTACAAAACATTGACGATGAAGAACTTTACAAAACATTGACGAAGAAGTTCATGACAAAGTCTCAACAAAACATTTACGAAGAAGTTCATGAGAAAGTCTTTACAAAACATTTACGAAGAAGAACTTTACAAAACATTGACGAAGAAGAACTTTACAAAGTCTTTACAAAACATTGACGAAGAAGTTCATGAGAAAGTCTTTACAAAACATTGACGAAGAAGAACTTTACAAAACATTGACGAAGAAGAACTTTACAAAGTCTTTACAAAACATTTACGAAGAAGAACTTTACAAAGTCTTTACAAAACATTGACGAAGAAGTTCATGACAAAGTCTTTACAAAACATTTACGATGAAGAACTTTACAAAACATTGACGATGAAGTTCATGACAAAGTCTTTACAAAACATTTACGAAGAAGAACTTTACAAAACATTGACGAAGAAGTTCATGACAAAGTCTTTACAAAACATTGACGAAGAAGTTCATGACAAAGTCTTTACAAAAAATTTACGAAGAAGAACTTTACAAAACATTGACGAAGAAGAACTTTACAAAGTCTTTACAAAACATTGACGAAGAAGAACTTTACAAAGTCTTTACAAAACATTGACGAAGAAGAACTTTACAAAGTCTTTACAAAACATTGACGAAGAAGAACTTTACAAAACATAGACAAGAAAGTTCATGAGAAAGTCTCAACAAAACATTTACGAAGAAGAACTTTACAAAACATTTACGAAGAAGAACTTTACAAAGTCTTTACAAAACATTGACGAAGAAGAACTTTACAAAACATTGACGAAGAAGTCTTTACAAAACATTTACGAAGAAGAACTTTACAAAACATTTACGAAGAAGTTCATGACAAAGTCTTTACAAAACATTTACGAAGAAGAACTTTACAAAGTCTTTACAAAACATAGACAAGAAAGTTCATGACAAAGTCTCAACAAAACATTTACGA